GATACAGATATTCTTATTTCATAATAGAAAAGTTAGATTTTTTTTAATAATTGCTGTTTAGTTAAAACTATTTTATAGAGAAATGTAGACCCAATGCACAAAAATATCACCTATATTGCACCTTACACTTTGCGATTTTATTAAATGCAGTTTTTATATTCCTAAATTCTTAAACCAACCATTGTTATTGTGATACTCTAAAGATTTATTAACTTTTAAAGCTTAAACATAAGCGGTAACACTTTAGTTTCGAAATATTTCAGTGGTTTTTATATTATTATGACGTCAATAAAGAAGAACCATTTTTAAAGCACAAATTTGTACATTTGATGATTTAGTATCCCAAATTGTTTGTTATATTTTTTGTATGTATAAAACATAAAGTAAGTCCACCGAAAACAAAATTAACAGCATTGCATGAATTTAACACAATTACCATAATAAATATAACCCCATATAGCAACTCAACAGAATTAATTTTAAGTTAACCTGTTAAACTAACACAAAAATTAGACACGTATCATCTAGTTGGCTATTACCCGCCGGACCCGGATGTGCCCGAAACGAACAGCGTGGACTCTCGGCCCCCCTACAAACCGTACACGTATCAGGTGAACGACAACAGGCCGAACTTTAACGATTACGACAGCGAGTATCACGAAGATAGCCGACCGTATTCGCACCACGGCGAGCCGCCAAACTACAGTGGTAACATACTAACCCTTTTATGTATTCACTAACTGAGTAACCTTGTTTATGACTAACATTTCAATTTTATAGTGGGCTGGATTTTGGATTTTTTTTTTGACGGTTTAAAATGACAAATTTCCGTATTCCCTCCTCCAACGCCTTTTCCAAAGAAATTTTGAATCATTTCGGACTCTAAAACGCCTTTATTATTCTTTATGAAATTTTGGATAAAAATACTTCAACTTATACGTGTTCGAGAAAATATTTTTAAAGCCCTTTTATTTAATAATGAAAAAACGTTCGAAAAATAAATTTTAGGGTAAATTTTGTACAAATTAAACGAACCGTAACGAAGATACAAGTCGGTAAAAATGGCCCCTTTTTGATTATTTTTGACGACTTTGAATTGCTGTATCTTCGTTGCTGTTCATTTGATTTGTACAAATTTCAGGGTATACTAACAAAAATACTATTTTTAACAGCATATTTTTTATTTACTTAAAAAATTACCCATAAAGAAATTTTTCGAACGTTTTTTCATTATTAAATAAAAGGGCTTTAAAAATATTTTCTCAAAAAACCCTCGAACACATAAACTGAGATATAAGTTAAAGTATTTTTATCCAAAATTTCGTAAAATATAATATAGGCGTTTTAGAGTTAGATTTTTTTTACAGTGGTTGCAAAAATTATGGTATTTATTAGCCCGGTTCAAAAAAATGGATTATTTTTTTTTCTGAAATTTCGCACTGAAATATTTTCACGGTACCAAAAAAAGACACCTGTAAAAACCGGAGCTCTTAATTTTAATATTTCGAGAATTTCTATTTCCCATTTAAATAACATTGGAAATTTTTGTTTATTTTTTATAATTTTCTAGCTTACAAACTAATTAACAGATTTTTATGGGTGATATATATTTTTGTGGAAAATTAAACGCTCCACAAAAAATGTTTATTATAATTTTTCTATAAACCAACGAGTTCAAAAGTTATTCAAAGTCGAAGTTAAATTTATGTCATAATTGCATTTTTTACTTAAATTTTAAGCAAATTTATTTAAGTTACTATCAAATATAAAAAAAATCATTCAAAAAATCAAAATTATTATGTTCAATAAGCCTTTTAAATGAATTCCACTGAAACACCTACTATTTCTGGAAATAATTCATTAAAAAGGATTTTAATCAATAAAAAAGATTTTTATCAATTAAAAAAGATTTAAATCAATTCTTTCTGCAGAAATAGTAGGTGTTTTAGTGAAATTAATTTAAAAGGCTTATTGAACATAGTAATTTTAATTTTTTGAATATTTTTTTTATATTTGGTAATAACTTTAATGAATTTGCCTAAAATTAAACTAAAAATGCAATTACGACATAAATTTAACTTTGACCTTGAATAACTTTTAAACTCTTTGGTTTATTGAAAAATGGTAAGAGACATTTTTTGTATAGCGTTCAATTTCATACAAAAATATGTATCGCGCATACAAATCTATTAATTAGTTTGTGAGCTAGAATATTATAAAAAAAACAAAATGTTATTTAAATGGAAAATAGAAATTCTCGATGCGCGATCTCTAAATATTAAAATTAAGAGGTCCGGTTTTTACAGGTGTCTTGTTTTGGTACCTTGAAAATATTTCAGAAAAAAATTATTCGATTTTTTTAACCAGCCTAATGTGTGTACTTGACCCTAATAATTTTTTCTGAATTTTGACATTGAAAAAATGTTATAGTAGGCATCTGTCAAGTGTCATTGAAAAAAATTTAAAGCTTAGATAGAGTTTTTATTCTCTATCTCATTGTATATAAATATACAGGGTTTTAATTTAAAAACGAGCGAGGACTTAAAAAAAGATATTAAAAATGTCTTAATTTGAAATGCTCTTGAAAACTGCCATTTAACAGTAATAAAAAATACTTTTTAATAGTTTAATTTTTGAAAAATACCCAAAATAATTTTTATAATTATTTATTACAATTTCTTGTTAAAAATTTCAAATTGAACTATTTTGTAGTCTTAAAAACATTAGTTTAAAAACTGGAGAACACAAAATAATTCCAACAAAAGTATTAAATTAAATGCAAAAAATACCTTTCATGAGTCGGGAAAGATATTGGCATTATTAACCAATTTAAATCCTTAGTGGAATGTGCATGTTTTTGTATTAGATTTATAAAAACCAACAAAAAATACTGCTATTCATGCAGATTAGTTTTAATATTTAAAATAGTATTGATTTTTCCCAAAATGATTTACACAACGGCTGAACAAGTTAAAATTATTTTTATTTATGGAGCACAAAATCGTTTTGCTTTACGAACTGCAGTGGCATTTAATGGCCACTGGAAAAAATATGCGTCATAAAATTTAATGTGGAGCATTTAGACAAAAGCAGATAAATACGTTTTATAGGCAGTTTCGTGTTATCAGCGAAAAATTAATATGTTTAGCTCTGCAACGTTTACATATTACACTTCACGGTGGATAGGTTTTTAAATAGCAAATTAATGAACTTAAACTTTTGATTTATAAAACAGCAACATTCTCATCTGCATATAAATTCTAACTGACCTTCAGGAATCACATGCATCTATAATGTCGTAAACAGAGGTTTTTGCTTATTTAAAATAATTAAAGCGCCATCCGTTGCATAAAGTTTAAAGCAAAAACAGATTCACGGAGGATAGAAGCAATTTTTGTAACACCTACATAAATGGTTATAAAAATATATCTTTTAACTTTTAATAATATTTTATATTTGATTCGATTGCGTTGAATGTATTTAATTTACTTATCCTAATATTTTTAGTATGCTTTTACTACCTCAGATATTTGAAAACATATAGGTTAACCTAGAAAGAGTAACAGTCACGGAGGATATGTTTTAGACTTTTAAAACATTGTAAAAATAAGTAATTGCGGTTAAAAATCTGGAACCTGAGCTGTAATATCTACTTAATTATGGTTGGTTTTGCTAGGTTTTGAGACCGGTATTCTATATCAATTACTTGGTTTGGCTCAATTCTGACTTCACCAATGAATTAATCTTACTTCATTTACTGTTAGTTAATACCTAACTCATTTTTCAACAAAACTGGATTTATCTACTTTTTTATGATTGCTCCACAAATATGTTCAAGAGCTGGTTGCAAAATTTGAACAATCTGGATCTGTTTGCAATCGAAAAAGAAACCAAACTAGGATACTCAATAAAGTCACCTATATTGAGTCAGGTTTAAAGGTGTTGAAACATCACAAATTCCACCCATTCAAAATGCAAATTACACAAGAGCTGATAATGCAGACAGGGGTTTAGAATGTTGTGATGTCCTGACCAATAAAATAACAAATCAGATCCAAATACTAAAAAACATTTGCTTTAGCGATGATCGTACTTTTTATCTAAATGGAAAGGTTAACAATGTTAAGGCTTAGCTGGATCAAAATTATCCAGAACAGTGGATTGGTGAAAAATAACCAATATAATGGCCTCTCAGATCCCCAGATTTAACACCGTTAGACTTTTTCTTATGGGGTCAATTAAAATATGTAGTTTACAAAGCTCATTCTCATTCTATTGAAGATCTGCTACAACGGACAGTTTAAGAATGCCGAGCTATTCCACGACAAACATTTCAAAATGTTCGAAGGGAATTTGAGAATAGACTGCAATATTAAATTGTTTTGATTAATGTTGATCATGCTTTTTTAGTTCATTATACTTTTGTTAGAATCATTTTTACAAATGTTTTTAGAAAAACAAAATGGTTTAATTAGACATTTAATGGTTTATATTGATATTTATAACAAGAAATTGGAATATTCATTCATATTAAAAATTTATATGAAACCATCATATTTTTAATATTTTATTATATTCCTTATCTTATTAGTATATTCCTTATCTTATTAGTATATTTCGCTAATTTATGTTTATGGTTCTGGGCGTTTTTATTTCTACTTTACACCTCTTTGATTTTATAAAATAATATAAAACCTTTTACACTGTAGAATTTAAAGTAAGTAGGTTTGTATAAATATTGTATTATAAAAAACAAAGTTATAAGCTTAATACAATTTTCAGCAAATTCGGGTGTGCTAAGTAAACATTTACTTACACCCTTATAAAATATACCTAACAAAATTTCTGACTTTATTTTTGTATTACGCACCCTTTTCAGTTTTCTCCACGTTATTTTAGCACGTCCTTCAACTCATTGGCACGACACCTACACGTTCCCGAAAAGGGATTCTTACTTTTTTACATATTTTCCCACACAATCTAATCCAATACTCTTTTAGGCTGTGGAGAGCTTTACACGAGGAGTAACAGGATAGTGGGTGGGCATTCCACAGGGTTCGGATCTCATCCGTGGCAAGTGGCGTTGATAAAAACTGGGTTTTTGTCGAAAAAACTCGCCTGCGGAGGAGCTTTAGTGAATGAGCGTTGGATCATAACGGCAGCTCACTGCGTGGCCACGTAAGTAGTCTTTATAGATAAGAATCTATTTAAAGTAAAAAAGTGTATGTTTTTATGAGTTTTTGATATCATAAAAGTATGTTTTCTAAAAAATTAATCTGTTTATTTACAATTTTTTTTTGCCAAGAAAAGTAAAAATTAGTTTTTTAATACAAACATTTTAGGTGTACCAGATTAAAAGCAGAGACAATTTTAGGTTTTTAATTCTTAATTTAAATGTAAATATTTTTCCAAACAAAAAATTATTTTAAATGTAGGTATAACGTTTTGTTTGCATTTTATTTGGCCCATCTATTATATAAAACTTAATCTAGAAGTAATGAGCACTATCATAGTAATAATAATAAATATTAATAACAATTTTTAAAGCACATAAGTTTAACCTAGGCGCGCCTAGTTTATTTTTAAATTTGGCATCTCTATTGCTTTCAGCACGTCCCCTTTTTCTCTGTGGCGCGAGTTCTGGGACACCCTGTATATTAACAATTATGTAGTCCTTAAAAAATGTAAAAAATAACATGATCTAATTCTAAAATTGGCTTTTTGGTAGAAATGGAGACAAATCCTTTGGGAAATTAGTTTCAAGCACTATAACATTTTAGTTTTGCAGAAACATAATATTTATTTACTATGTCTGATATAAAAATTTTAAATACATTTTATAGCCAGCGAGAGTGTTTCACGTAAATAAATATAAATCTAGATTTTTTCCCATGATGGTTTGGACAGCAAAAAAAAATAGGAAAAAAAATAAATAACGTGTTGTTTAAGTTGCATAAATGTATCATAAATATAAGATTGAAATTTTACGTTCCCACTGATGACATAAAAATATACCAGGAAATAATATTCTACCACATCCTCATTGCATTTTTTTCTCTTGGATGGTCATTGAATAAGGACAAAAAAAATATAGTCTATGGCTCACAGACAGGTATTTTGACCTAAAACGTGGCCACTTTTTCTGTATCAAAAGGGTAGCAAATGACTAAAAAACATAATATGTTTTTATATATATATTATATATGTATTCAAAAATTTATTTATAAAAAAATTACAAAATAGCTACTTACATACAAGTAATACAATAAAAATATTAAAATAAAACATATAATAAATTTTTTGTGCACTTTAAAAAATAAAAAATATATCCACCTAAAAATCTTATAAAATCGCACCAAAGTGTCTGTTTTCAGGGATAAATTTTTCCGTGATGTGAAAACTTGTAAATGTTTTTTATGGCTACAGTCTAGATATCCTAAAGTTTAATAAGACGTGGGTTGGATGCCGTTCCGAGTTGTTTTATATATTTAAAAATATAAATGTTTGTTTAAAAAGACGAGAACAATTTTAAATTTTTAGTTAGATGGCTATAGTACGGAACATTTAACAGTCAATTTCCATTTAAAATTGGCCCCTGAATCCGAAAATGTCGTCAAAAGTTTCAAATGTAGAACAGTTTTTGAGATATAGTCAATTTTCCATATAATTTGGAATTGACTATATCTCGAAAACTGCTCTACTTTCATAATTTGTAAAGGTAGTTTCGGATTCAGGAGACAATTTACATAATAATTGGCTATTGAATGTTGGGGATACCATGGTATCCCATGGTATAAGTAAAAAAGCGGGCATAACTGTAGTAATTAGTCATTTTTGACTAATTCATTTTTTGAGAGTAGTAGAATACTTTTTTATTCAGTAAACAATTAAATAAAACTGCTATTTAAACGCAATCTATGGTCAAATAATTTTTTTAAGCAAATACTTCACTATGTTGTAGATATGTTGCACCATGCATTCGAGGAAATACAAGTAATACAGTACGAGGTGTGTTCAGAAAATAACGGGAATTGTTAAATTTCGCGGGTTCGGAGGGTCCGGTTGTCATAAAATTTTCTTTATTATGTTGGTATACATGCCCCCGAAGTATGATAAAAACTTTAGCTGTTTTCATTGTTTACTTTGTCTGTGGCAGCCGCTAAGGTTAGACGTGTTTTATGAGCTCGGCGATTTTTCGTTCGTGAAAAGAAATGGATCAAAGAATTTGTATTCAATTTTGCATAAAAAATTAAATAAATTCTGTGAAATGTTAACAAAGGCCTATAGTGAGTCTGCTATAAGTAAAACCAGAGTTTACAAGTGGTATAAGAGTTCCCAAGATGGCCGTGAAGACGTTGAAGATGACGAACGCCGTGAACGCACAAGCACATTAACAACCGATAAAAACATGGAAAAAGTGGAATAAATGGCTATAAACCATCAGAGAAGTCGCTGATGATGTTGATATATCGATTGGCTCATCTCATAAAATTTTTTCGAATGTTTTGGGTATGAAACGCGTGGCAGCAAAATTTGTTCTAGAATTGTTAAATTTTGAACAACATTTTTGGCCAAAAACAATACTGTAATGATGTCCCAGCCTCCATATTCGCCAAACATGCCTCTGTCTGACTTTTTCCTATTCCCAAAAATAAAGAGAACCTTACAGGGCCGTCGTTTTGCAAGCATAGATGACATTAAAAGCACATCGCTGAAAGAACTAAAGGCTATCCCAATGATCGAGTTTTAGAAGTGTTTCGAGTATTGGAAGAAGAGCTGGCACATGTGCATAATATCCAATGGGGACTATTTTGAAGGCGAGAACATTAATGTAGACGAATAAATAAATATTTGTTTCAAAAAACGAAAATTCCTGATATTTCCTGTACCCACCTCGTATACTATAAGAGTTCCCAGTGATTAGTGTTAACTGCCTATTGGTTTTATGACATAAATTTTCGGTTTTAATAAAATAAATAGGTTTTATTAATTCCTAATGCAGGAAATACTGCTCTTAAATGCGTATAACCACCAGTTTTTCCATGATCCATATTTGTGAAATTAAAAATGCTTTGCTAAAATAATTCCAAAAAATAGCTCATGTTTATTATTATGAATTAATTAAACTATAATATATATTATATGGATATGTTTTTTTCAAATCATCCGAGCAAAGCCTTTTTAACAACAAAACTAATTCTTGCAAGGTTATTATACCTGACTTTATTAAAGTCACTTTAATTAAAATGCCCTTTTTGAGGAAAGAATATAAATTTTCTATGTAATACAATACACACCATAAAGCTAACTTAACTACCATTTAGCTTTATGGAGCTTTTAGGTGCTGTTACAGCAATAATAAAACCTAATGTGTTACTTGGGTCTCCCACTAACACCAACAAAAAACCCTCCAATCCCCAAACAAAACTACAACGAATTCCAAACCCCTTTTTATTTGCAGCACCGCCAACGGCAACATACGCGTCCGTCTGGGCGAATGGGACGTCAGAGACCAGGACGAGAAGCTGCAACACGAGGAATACACCATCGAGCGGAAGGAAGTGCATCCTTCCTACTCGCCGTCCGATTTCAAGAATGACGTCGCGCTCGTGAAGTTGGACAGAAACGTCAAGTTCAAGCAGCACATCATCCCCGTCTGCTTACCATCGCCCACGGTAAGATGGTTGATAATAAATTCATTGGCGGAAATGTAGAAATCTACTTTGTCAGGAAGTTACTTCAAATGTAAATATTAAAATGGTAGCTAACGTTTTTTTCTAACTAAAAGTCGCGAAAATCATTACTCGATACCAACTTGTTTATTACCAATCATTTTCTACGTATATGATGTAAATATATAAATAATACACTCACAGGCAAAATAATCGATCCACAAAAATTTTCGATGAATTTCAATCGCAAATAACTTTTTTATTTGATGTCGGATTTAAAAGAATATTAAAGAATATTGTAGATAAATTAATGGACAATCGCTCACATTTTAAAAAATTACTAAAAATAGACGTACGTTTATAATATACAGGTTTAAACAAAAATATGTTTTTTACCATAAGTTTAAGACACTTTACCATAAGTTTAAGACACTTTACCATAAGTTTAAGACACAAGAATACCATGGTATCCCAAAATTTAACACCCAATTCTTAGGTAAAATTATCCCCTGAATCCGAAAATACCTTCAAAAATTATAAAAGTGGAGCAGTATAGTATGTTAAATTTTGGGATACCATGGTATCCCATGGTTAACCAATGATACAAGTGAAAAAGCAGCCACTATTAAATTAGTCGTTTTTGACTAATTCATTTTTAGAGAATATAGGTTGTGAGTTTTGTGTTATAATGGAGCCTAAAAGAAATAATTTAAAAATATAGACTTTCTTCAATAGAAGATTTAACAAAGTTGTAAATATACCATGGTATCCCAAAATTTAACACCCAATTTTTAGGTAAAATTGTCCTCTGAATCCGAAAATACCTTCAAAAATTATAAAAGTGGAGTAGTTTCTGAGATAGTATGTTAAATATTGGGATACCATGGTATCCCATGGTTAACCAATGATACAAGTGAAAAAGCAGCCACTATTAAATTAGTCGTTTTTGACTAATTCATTTTTAGAGAATATAGGTTGTGAGTTTTGTGTTATAATGGAGCCTAAAAGAAATAATTTAAAAAATATACTTTCTTCAATAGAAGATTTAACAAAGTTGTAAATAATTATTTATTTACAAATCTTAAAACAGTCTCCCCACATTTAATTATTTTGGTAGGCATCTATAGGTTTTATCACAGAACAGATGCGTTTTATAAAAATAAAGCAGGGCTGCAACTAAAATCATCGGTGTTTTTTAAGGTTAGTAATTTTAAAAATAACAAGTTATTTAATTGAACTAATTTTTAAAATTATTATTTATCATTCACATAATAAAAAAAACAATTCTAATAATAATATTAAATTACTTCTTTTTAAAAAGACTTTTACGCAGAGATATATATTTTATATTGGTCCAAGATGCTATATCCTACCAAATAAACCAAAGGCGTTAAGAAAATTTAATACTTCTAAAATACCAAACCAATAAGTAAAGGCATCCTATAATCGCCATATTGTTTGCTGTCCATTCTAACAAAAGGAAATGCCATTTATTTTATTAATTTGTTTTATTCCAAAAATATGGTAATTTTAACAAACCAATAATAAAACATAGGTTCTTAAAAGTATTTTAAATTAATTTCAAACAAAATAAAGAACAATAGACCAACTATTTTTCCAATTTTTTTAATTTTTTATTTATTTTGAAGCGTTTTTAAAATATGAAAGTATTGTGTAGGTACTAATTCATCAGAAAAAAAGTCCAATTGGTTTTTCCCTTAAAACTATCTCTTTAAGATATTAATTTTAATTTTTTTTATAAAAAAGGATAAAATAAACCAAAAACTACCAAATTATAACTTATTTTTAACCAATTAAAAACCTTTAAAGGTTCATTAACCAAGAAGTTAAATTTAACCACAACTGAATTTCCCAATTATTACAAAATAGAGGAAAGTCGCCTATTATTGGGTACCATTTTAATTTTTATGTTTATTTTTCAGTTTAGCAATGTTGATTCTTTAATATGCAAGCAAGATAATACTAGAAACAAAAATCCTTAAAACATTATATTTTTAGTGTAAAAAAATAATTAAAAAATTCTTTGTCTACCCAATATAAGGATAACTAGACATTGCCTACCCCATATTAGGAATATACCCCATAATAGGCGACTTTCCTCTAACGTTCATTTAACATTGTACATAGTACAATATTACTCAAATGAATTAACCATGCATGACGTAAATTTAACGTTAATTTAACCATTTGTCCTACTTACATATTAATATTTTTTTTCTTTTTAGTTAAAGTTACCGGGTAAAATGGCAACAGTGGCTGGTTGGGGAAGGACAAGGCACGGTCAGGCAACAGTTCCTTCGACTCTTCAGGAAGTGGACGTAGAAGTGATACCAAATGAGCGTTGCCAAAGATGGTTTAGAGCGGCTGGAAGACGGGAAACAATACACGATGTGTTTCTGTGTGCTGGATACAAAGAGGTAATGATCTTGCTTTTCTAGAAAAATTATTTTCTTTATTCAATTTATTCAAAATTAAATATTGTTTATGTTTATATAAATTTTTGACGTAACATAGGGAAGGGTGGGGGTTCGTGCTGTTGTGACAATTTGGACAATGCATTTTATTGCAATGAATATGGGGATATAGCTCAGTGGTAGAGCGTTCGCTTTGCATGTGAAAGGCCCCGGGTTCGATCCCCGGTATCTCCAATTGCTTTTTTACTTTTTTTTTTAATTTTTGTACTTACATTAGATATTCTTACTACATAATTTTTATAATACAAACCGGAAATTCTGTATGTACTTACCATAGATGGAACTACATATTTCTGGGTACCTTACTTAGGTTAAGTAAGTATGTTATCTGTGTTGCCTATCCACATTTGTAATAGGTAGTGCATAAAGCACTCTAACTTCCATTTTTATGATTTGTCTCCTAATAATAATAATAATAATAATTATAACAATAATAATAACAACAATATTAATATTTATTTAAATACCATTTTACAGTTAAATACATTAAAAATATAATTTTCAGTAGTTAAATAATAAAATAAACATTTAAGTTTTAAATTTGTCCAATTTAAATTTAAAACTAATGATAAAACGACAGTAAAAAAAACAAATCACTAAATGTTTTTAGACAAATAACAATTTTTAAATTAAAACACAATATAATAAAACCTAGTTTAGTTCTAGCTGCCATAATTTATTAAATTATTAATTAAAATCTCTAGTGTTTTTATAAAAAAATCTTTTAATTGCACTTAAAAATTTTAAGTTAAAATGAATTATACACGGAGAGAAAAGTATAATGCTGATTACCATAATTATAATACCCTTTACTATAATTTATATTACTATTTGGGACAACTATCTTGTATATTGCCAGATACTATGCATATTTAGTAATTTTTAAATATCCATGTATGTTAAACCTTAAGGTAAAATATTATTATTCTCAACCAATTTTATTTTTAATTCTTATTATAATTAGATTTTTTCCATTACTAATAAGTATAGTAAATTTTAAAATATTATGTTGCAATTTTAAATATAAAATATTTTAAAATCGAATATTTTTATATGTTAACAATTAAAAATTGTACCATATTTATTGTACTTTTTAATATACAAAAATGTTATGAGAAAGAATTGAACCTACACCTCGCCAAACTTTTTTGTTTTGAGTGCATTCCATCAGCTTCAAATATAGACAGACAGGTGTTTTGACCTATATTGGGTATCATCAGTGTCGAGCAACTTGTAGTAGTGGAACACACCCAAAACAAAGAAATACCTGAGCTTATATAACATGGTTGGTAAGCCAACAGAGGCGAGATGTAAGAACATCACGTGATCCACACCGTCTAACGACGCGTCTCGACGTGGCCTTTGCCGCAATCGGTACATACTATGCAACCAAGTAGGTTCAGTTCTTTCTTATAAGTAATACCAGTAATGGGTCAAGAAAATTTATTGAAGAAACTAAGAAAATTGAATGTTTAAAATATCATGAGTTACTATATTGTATATTATATTTAAATATATTGTTTATTTACCTTAAACATAAAAGTATCTTTATTTTTAGTATATTTTTTATTAATGTGTAATATATTATAATATTAGATGTACACCTTACTTTTGATAAAATCATATAGTAAATATTAAAATTTGTAGATAGTAACATCAATTTACTATACGAACATATTAAAAATTAAAATATATATTATACATTTATGATTTAGTAATATTGGTGTTGTAATCTTTACTAAAATTGTATAATAAAAAATAGTATTTTGTATTACAATCTTAATATTGTATTGACGAATATATAATATTGTTACCCTAAAAATTTGTTAAAGTAAATTTTACTATATTTTTTTACTATCCAAAATATACTATACATTTTTCTCCGTGTAATTTAAAATATTCTCTATTTCTTTTGGAACAAAGTTGAATGTTTTTGGTGCCAAGTATGAAGCAGATCTTTTGCTGATTCCTTTTTGCATTCTTGCCAATTTAATAAATTATTTTTCTTTGCAGGGTGGACGAGATTCCTGTCAAGGAGACTCAGGGGGGCCCTTGACCCTAACCGTAGACGGTAGAAGGACCCTAATAGGATTAGTGTCCTGGGGTATAGGCTGTGGTAGAGAACACTTACCCGGGGTGTACACAAACATTCAAAAGTTTGTGCCGTGGATTGACAAAGTTATGGCTTAAACCTAAACAGTTATCCCTGTGCCAGTGTGAAGTGAATTCTAGCAAAATAGATGTTTTTCGGGAATTTCGTACCTAAACAATTGTAAATATACAATTTTTTATGAAGAATTTCGTAAAGCATTAAAAATATTTAAAATTAATGGAAATAAGTATTTGTTGGGAATGTAAAGGCAGGAAATAATGTAGGAGCCAAGTCAGGACTTTTAGGGGGCTTAATCAGTCATCTTTCTTAACTTTTCTTCTGTAGTAGGAGCCATGGCACCACCTATTCTTTCTCCAAAAAATATTTTTTATCTTTAAAATTTTATATTATGTGAAGTTACCAGAAACGGTATAAATATTAGGTATATATATGTGGTAAAATATCACATGTTAGGTTATTTGCCTATGTATATCAAAATATAGTTACATAGGTATAAAAAATATTAATTAAATCAATGGTATTATAACCCTTTGTTTATGGGATGTTGAACATCAAAAAACGATACTTATTTCTTTTTTTTTCGCTAAAGAAGATATTTTAAAGTATTTCCAGTGAATATTTAACGTTAATATAATTAAAATAAAAATTGCCCAAAACGGCAAAGTAATGAATTAATCGATATTTATGTATTTATTAATTATTATAATAATAATCAATTCAAATTTCACTTACTTTCATTTTGCAGTTCAATTTAACTTTCTTGTACATATTTGTTGCATAAAATCACAAAAATATTCAGGATACAATGTGGGTGTACTTTCACATATAATTTTTCTGTAAATACGTACCAGTTATGTTGTTACAAATAATATATTTTTATTTGTAAAATAAATTTTGTTAATAAAAACAATTTTTTTTCATATTGATAGCAATATTAATTAAACCCTGTGATCTAAGTTTCGGCAGGGAAACTAAGCGTAATACTGAGTAAATCTGTATCAGATACCCTAGTTTTGTATGATTAATTTTAAGTGTACTGTGAAATAAATATTTGTATTAGAAATGTGTTTTACTGTAATACTTTAATTGTGGATGTTCGAATTGCTTCCGCAGATTTGGCCCCCATCGACCACTACCTGTTTGCAGGTTTATATTAAAAGATAATTTTTAGCAACATGTTTTGAAAGAAAATTTAATTTTGAAATATTTAATACTTACTTAAATTTAGATTTTGTTTACATAATGTTTCAAATTCAAACTTAATTTCCTTTGGGTAGGATGTAATATTAATAATAAACCTAGAGTACGTATAAACCTACAAACACAATTTATAGTTTGTAAAGCATCCTATAATATACCGTAAACAAATTGTTTATTCCCATTTTATTTGAAATGAGCGCTTATTAAACGCTTCAATGGACTTTTGGTTAATCATAAACCTTTTAATTAGCAATTGAGAGGTACAAGTTTTTGATATTGAAAAAAGTGAACAGAATACAGTTTGGCTCTGGGGTACGTACAGATATGTATGTATTTTTATGCAATACATGGAAAACCAAAACAATTTTTATATTATAACATTTATAAGCCCATATAGAAAGATTTAATATTTGTTGGTATCATGCATGTTGGAATAAGAATTGCAAAGTGTATTGCAGTCTGCATGAAAAATTGCAAACTGTATAATACGGGCTTAAGGTCTCGGCTTTAAAAAGTCGCTTTCTCTGCTTGCTAAACTTGAAAATCACAAGATTTTTTTTTAAGTCAAGGTTTTTGAGATTTGAATTTTAAATTTTTATATATACTGTGAAATTCAAAAATTGAACCAAAAAAACTTTAGTAATTAATAAACAACAAAATACCATATCCTCATTATTTGAAGACAATTCTTGTCGTACTTTTTCAAAAGTTTCTGGTGTGATGTTTAGGCATGCTTCAGCTATTCGATGCCGTATTTTTTTAACGGTTTAGGTGGAGCCCAATAAACGAAATAATGTATCCCCATAAATTAAAGTACGGGGGGGGGTTAAATCTGGTGATCTTGGGGGCCACTCCAACGGTTCTCTTCCGCCAATCCATTTGGCCAAGAAAACGGAAGTTAAGCCATTTTCTGAATGCGGTGGAAGTGAAGGTTCTCCTCACTAAGTATAAATCCTACTGTGGTATCAGGTTTTCATCCCTATCTCCCTAACCTTCGTGTTCTTGTGTAATTAATATATTAATAGTATCTTCTAGTAAATTTAAGTAGTTCTCCAGTGAGATTCCTTCAATTAAAATTGGGCCAACAATTTTATTTCCCAAAATGCCGGCCCAAACATTTAATTTTTGAGGGTGCTAAATATCCTTCTCTACAAAAATTTCAGGATTTTCATCACCTACAATTTTGCTCATTGACTGTCCATTTAGGGAAAACGTGCATAAGTAGCTGAAACAAATATTTTTATTGAGTGTTGGACCTTTATTTATTATCGCCGTCATAATTTCTCATAACGCTCGTAAAGTCTTCATTTTATAAGGGTAAAATTTATGTTTTTTTTAATACTCTCCAAACAGAATTTTTTAAAGGCGCTGTTTTTCTAAATGCTTGCCGAAAAGACATAAAAGGGAAAATTGCAAACTGTACCTAAGTTGTACCTAAAGTTTTTCAAGTGCGAAGTATCCGAAAAAAGATGCCATCACTGGTTTTCAAACTGAAATTAGGGGATACATTGAAGTGGGTTAGAGTTAAGAAATAGATCAGTAAGTTTTGTTGTACTACTGATAATTATATTGTACGAATTGTGTGTGTGTTATTTTTGTATTCATTTACGTTAATTTTTTTGTTTAGGAAATTGATAGAAGTTTCCAATTTCCAACATTGTTAATTTTTTATTACCATTTTACATTATCGCTTATTATTTCACAAATAATGAATTAAGTGGTTAATTATGACAAAATATTTCCAAACCGTATGTATTCAACTATGGAAGATTCGCAAAGCCTGCTTTGATAAAACAGGATTTTAATTTTAATGGCATTTTTAATACAAACATTTTTGTTTTGGCTTGGAAAACACTTTTAAAAGCTAAATTTAAAACAGTAAGTAAATTTAAACATAATTTTTGTTTAAAAATGTAATTACTATTTAGTGAGTAAAAACATTTGGATTACATTGTAGCATTGCGAAGCAATTAAGTTTTTAGTCTAGTTTGGTTGAAATGGCAAATGGCAAAACCGTCTTACTAAATAAGTAATTAATAAGATATAACTTGTGGGTGAAAAAATAAAGTTAAACTTAAATGCTTTATTTATTTCTAAAAAGATTTACCCACCCTAAATAATATAGAGTATGTTGTTTAAAATAAGATTTTTATCTTAAAATCTAATCAAAATAGGAAACATTCACACAATTCTATGCAGTCCTAATAAACCAATATGGTACTAAACTTACCTTAAATAAATAAAAAAACCTTACAAATATCATAAATCTTAAACTACACATTTTTTAACCTTTAACGCATTTTCCTTATTACCAAAATAAGAAAAATATAAACAATACTAATAATAACAGAAAAAAATCCACTGATCGAATAGCTCGATAGCATTATTGAACTAAACAGTTAAAAAATATTTGTTAATTTTAACCAAATATTAACTAGATTTTATGTTAATTGTAATTATAACAAAAATTTTGTAAATTTAATAACAAAATTATGTCAATAATTCAACTATAATTCTTAGAAGAATTATGGTTGAATTATTGACATAATTTTGTTATTAAATTTACAAAATTTTTGTTAAAATTACTTTTAAGTATTTGTTGGAAATTGGAAACTTAAATGCAAAAAATATTGATAAGAAATGACAATTCTAAAATGTTGCATTATTAATCAATTTCCTACATAAATGAACACAAAAATAACATACACACAATTAAATAACACATGTGTGCACGATTCTGAAATCATCAAATTATGAAGAAATTTGGTAAAATATATTTATCAGTAAGTACTACTATAACACTTACTCTGACCTACTATGGAGAAAGGCAGTACCCACAAAAAATTCAAAATGCGTTTTCTTGTGATATGGTAAAACCACAGAATATTCTGTGGTAAAACGATGGATATTTTGTATCCGAATTCAACACAGAAATGCAGTCAAATATCTCATAAGTTAAAAAAATCAATTAAATACCTACTGCTTTTTATAAAAATGTAGTCTATGCTAATTTCCCACAAATTTCTTGTTTAGCAGTTACTGCCTTTCTCCATAGTAGGGCAGTACTGATGTATTTCGTAACTTTAACCCACTTAACTGTATCCCCTAATTTTAGTTTAAAAACCAGTGATGGCATCTTCTTTCGGATATTTCGCACTTCGCACATAATCCAAATAACAACAACAGATTTCTGGTAATTTATTATAAATACTATAAACAGTTGTTGCCAACACGTTACGAATTAGAATAAAGGAAGCAGAAACATAAGTTGCAGACGCTGTTAATTAATCTGATTTTTATAACAGTGTGTAATTCAAGAACTAAATCTTTGCATTTTATGTTTTGTCAAAGGATCCAATTTGGTACGTATATTTATTGGTACATAATTAACTAAGAATATAATTTATATTTTAGTTTGGACAATTTTAAGAAATCTAACAAAAAATAATATTTTTTCAAACATAACCTTAAAATTAAACATTTTCATATTTGTGTCTCCTAAAGAAGTCATGGCAACATAATATTATATACAATACATAATATACGAGGTGTGTTCAGAAAATAACGGGAATTGTTAAATTTCGCGGGTTCGGAGGGTCCGGTTGTCATAAAATTTTCTTTATTATGTTGGTATACATGCCCCTGAAGTATGATAAAAACTTTAGCTGTTTTCATTGTTTACTTTGTCTGTGGCAGCCGCTAAGGTTAGACGTGTTTTATGAGCTCGGCGATTTTTCGTTCGTTAAAAGAAATGGATCAAAGAATTTGTATCCAATTTTGCTTAAAAAATTAAATAAATTCTGTGAAATGTTAACAAAGGTCTATAGTGAGTCTGCTATAAGTTAAACTAGAGTTTACAAATGGTTTAAGAGTTTCCAAGATGGCCGTGAAGACGTTGAAGATGACGAACGCCCCAAACGCACAAGCACATTAACAACCGATAAAAACATGAAAAAAGTGGAAGAAGTGGTTATAAACCATCAGAGAGGTCGCTGATGATGATGGTATATCGATGGTATATCGATTTTCGAATGTTTTGGGTATGAAACGCTTAGCAGCAAAATTTGTTCTAAAATTGTTTAATTTTGAACACAATTTTTTGCCAAAAACAATACTGTCATGATGCCCCAGCCTCCATATTCGCCAGATATGCCTCTGTCTGACTTTTTCCTATTCCCAAAAATTAAGAGAACCTTAAAGGGCCGTCGTTTTGCAAGCC